TAATACTAAATAAAGTAAGTACTTACTGTTTATTAAAACTACAGTTTATACTTTCAAATATCGGTAACTATGAAAACCGGAAAATGAGTACGCTAGCCCACTCGCCGGATTATAATAAATGAGCTATGAAACTGCATAAATTAAAATCAAAAAATAAACAAACGGAATGTGTTAGCGATAGTTAAGTGGATCCGATTCATATTTCAAGCATTACTTAATTTTAAAAAAATCATCCCAGTATTCCATCTAATGTACTAATGTATGGTGCACTGTTCTTTTGACTCTTTCAACGTACTGTAATTTTCGGTAGTATAAGTATAATTTACAAAAATAATATATATAAATTATGAACAAAGACAAGGAATTTCAATTTCATTCATATTTCGATAGTAAAAACTATTAATTTGTGTCAATAATTGCTTCTGATTTAAAAATAATTGCATTAGTTTTATACAAATTATTTGTGCAATTTTATTTTTTTCTTTCATAACATAATTGTTATATATATTTTTATGTAGTTTAGAACGGCAAGTAAACTGGCGACCCGTCTGATTGAAAGTGGTAATCGTCGCGTATAGACATGAGTATCTTGGACATAACAGAGTATACTGTGTCACCCATGATACCCTTCACGCGTTGCTATTCCTGAGATCTAAGGAACTGCCTCTTTACTCTGTAATTTCATTGGCATGTAAATACAAATAGAGGTCCCTAAGCAGGCGACTTCTGTGAAAAGTCTCCCTCTGGTTATTATATACTCCTTTTCTTAATAAGTAAAATTGCATCTTGCGATGCAAGATCAATCGCAATTGCAAGTCGTAGATTGCTTACTTGCGATGCATGTTGCGACTAAGTGCACCTCTCCAATAAATAAATTTGAAATGATCTCGAGTTCGAATCTTAGTTTGTATTCAACGTTAAAATCTCAATTTTAATTTCCAATATTTATAGGAGTACAAATTACAGTTGTCAATATTTTTTTCATTATTTTAAGCATATTAATAAAACTCCTGCAAAACTCGTTTCTACATTAACCTTAATACCGCTTTTTATCGACTATAAGAATCCTACGTAATTATTTAAAACATCTAGTTATTTATTTTTATCAGTAGTACACACTTAGTTACACTAACTAGAGGACCACTCCTTCAATCATTGACACTATTCTTAATGTAATAAGCAGGTACATAGGTGCATAGAAATTGTGCCCAATATCTCAACCTAATTGCATACTTAAAGCGTTATTGCAAGTTTTATTCATACATATTATTTGAGGGTTTTTATGAACCGATTTAGTTAAGTGTAAGTTGAATTCAAGCGTACAGGTTTCTACCATATATATACTTTTTAAGAGACTTCGAAAAGAAGGATGGTTTAAGTCGTCTATATTTTTGTGGCTATATTTTTAATTAAAAAAGAAATAATAGTACACATTAATAACGCGACGATTATAACTAGATCAGAATTGATAAATAGTTTTTATATTACTTGATTGGGACCTCTGTCCCATTCATGTTTCTACCGTGAAACAATTGTGTTTGCATGGCTGTATTTCGGTTTGAAGGGTGGGATATGGCAGTGAATACCCGCTTGAACTTTTCGACTCGGTGCAGGGACGAGCTATGAGAATTGTCGATGATCTCAGGCTTACAAGCGGTATCGAACCCTTAAGTCTTAAGAGAGATTCTGTGTCACTCTGCGTGTTCTACTGCTTGTACAACGGATTGTGCTCAGAGGAATTCTTCAATATGATGACCACGGCATCTTTCTACCATCGTACGGCTCGCCATCAACAGGGAGTTCACCCTCATATCTTACAGCCTAAAAGGTCACATACAACGCGGTTTATGTGATGTTTTCGCCCACGAACATTCAGATTATAAAATGTCGAGGTTTTTTTTTTTATTTTATTTTGGTGCAAACAGCCATTACAAATAAAAATATTGTTTCATTTTTTTATATTATTTAAAAATAGACAACGAGTACCGAAATATATACAATAGTATTTTTCAAAGAGACTAGAGCATGGGGTTCTTCAAAAGGGGGGTAAAGGGGTTTCTTCAGGGTCGGCAACGCGCGCGTAATACCCCTGGTATTGCAGGCGTTCATAGGCTACGATAACCACTTACCATCAGGTGGGCCGTGTGCTTGATTGCCACCTCAGTGGTATAAAAAAAAAGTGAATTTACAGAATACACAGGCTTAGTTCTCAGGAATGACAACGTATATACGCAACGAAGGTATCATAGTAGAAACAGTATACTCTGTTACGTCCATGACACTGTTCATGTCTATAGGCGACGGTTACCGCTTTCATCAGGTGGGCCGTTAGCTTGTTTGCCATTCTAAGTTGCATAAAAATAAATTATAATACAAATATTAGTCGTTTTTTAGGAGTGAAATTTTTAAAAATGATTATTTAGTTTCGGATTGTGGATCGTATTATTTATGTACTACGTTATTTTAAAACAGTTTATGTGCAAAAAAACATTACCCATAAAGTAATACAAATTGCTGTATTAGCTAGTCCGATGAACTTTCCGCCAAAAGCACCTGACTCCGTTACGTAACACTGCAAATCTTATGAATTATTGAAATTTTTACTTTGTAGAAAAAGTTTAATTTCAAAGTAACATTTATCTATTACTTTTTCTTATTCTTGATTTATCAGAAACTTCAATATGTACAAAATTTTTATTTACACTTTATTATACCATTTATAAAAATAATTTATACAGTTAATAAGAAGTGATACAAACAGCGGCCTTATCGCTAAACAATCTCTTCCAGATAATCTTTGGGTAGAGAACATTGAGAAAAAAAACAAAGGATAGATGATGCACTGCTATATATATATATATATATATATATATATATATATATATATATATATATATATATATATATATATATATTGTGTACACCTAGAACAGGAAAGAATGAAAGAAGAAGATGCAGAGAGAATACAGGAAAATAGTATTTAAAGGGTGAGATAGTAGGATTTAACAGAGGTTTTGAAGCTAGCGAGAGATTGAATGCACCGGAGACAGGTAATGAGTTCAATATTTTAGTTTATAAAGTGTGACATGCTGAACAGTATTATTATTGAAAATAATTATTTCAATCGCTTCATACTCATACTCGTAGATGTGAAATATAGACCAAAAATTACAGCAGTGTAGAGATTTAGATTTAGTTTTTTTAAATTGGTCTTTTTATGATTCCATATTAAAAAGTTATAAACTCTTATGATGCGTATTTGTCCGTCCGTTCAATAATCCGTCACAGCGCTATATATAGTTCAGCAACTACTAATGCTATCGATGTAAAATTAGGTATAATTGTACAAATTAGTGGCCCACATATATTGCAATAAAATTCATGGATTTTTTTAATAGATACTCAGAATTTCAAAATGGACCTACTTGTCCACGTAAAATATCATATGAAAGAATTTTATTTGTACATTTTTAAAACTGGTTTTTATTTATTTTTATGATACGTAGTTTTTGTTAGAAAAATCCTTTCTCCTCGTCTTCTATCTCCAAAGTTTGTGAAACGAAAAATCTGAAGTAATTATTTTATAAAGGTGTATATTACAGAAAAGATAAAACAGCGTATGTAACTAACATCGTTTTTGAAAATTATTAAAAACCTCCAAAAAAAGAAAAAAAACTTAGTATATATATATATATATATATATATATATATATATATATATATATATATATATATATTCAAAATAAGAAACAACAAATTGCAGTAATAATAATATAAATAATAGTATAAATAATAGTAATAATACCTAGTAGGTGTCTACTTTGTATAGGAATTGCAATAAATGTTAGGAATGTTAGTATCTTATATCAATGTACATATGTACGGAACCCTCTGCGTGTGAAGTTAACTCGTACTTGATTAATATTTAAAGTTTGTTTTTTGCTAAACCGCCAAATAACTTAATATCTATTAAATGGGTTCTATCTTTTTTTTGTTTGAGAACCCTAAAATGCTCAAATGCAAATTGGCTTATTATATTGACAGAAAGCCGTTGTTAATAAATATTCTCGTATCAGACATTGACCTGCTTGAGTACTTTTTTGTGCGAAAAATATAAGATGTATCACACCCACACTTACAGACATTATTACAATAAAAAAATCGAGGTAAAATTATAGGTTGCGTTAGCTCTGCAGTTTTATATTTGAACTAACTTTTAACCCTGACTTCGTTCGTTAGGGGAAATTAGGGATAAAAATAGCTTATATCCTTCTTTATCCTATATAGTATGTGTATACCAAATTACATAACGCAAAAATTTCGTAAAAGACAAATTTACTTTCACGTTTATAATATTAGTAAGAAGGGTTTTATACTCGTAAAATTTTAGCAACAAAATTACCGACCTTGACTACTAAAATAATGTTTTATTGCATCTTTTGACATTTTTGACGTCCCTTTCCTGGAGATATTCAGAAAATTCGTTCTTTAAGAAAAATAAGTTTCTCTACAGGTTTATGTTTCCAGTATAAATATATATCTTCATAAAATCATTACATTTTCATTACGTACAATATAGGTTTAAAATATAGATATATACTTTAGATTTATGATATTACACCAAAGAAATATATTGTCTTCATCTGTTCAGTTGTGATAATTGAATTGTAAAAGAAATTATAATGATAATTTACATCTTTTATGATTATTTTATTGACGGAAACTAATGGAGCCGAAATGCTTTAACAAAATTGCAATCAAGGAATTATCGTTGATGAAACATTGGTTTAACAACATGTATAATTATAATAAATCATCGAATCGAGATCTGCTTAAACTAGAAATGGTAATAAACTGATACAGCTAATCACTGTTTTATAATGAAAAGGATCAATAATTTGCATAGACTCGTTATTGAAATAGACTAGTATTATAACGGTGCAATTCATTAAATATATGTGATGAATATTTATCAGGAAAGCCTATAACAGGAGACTCACCTCTATAACACGGCTGGTCACAAAATTCATTCACTTCACAGTGTTTTTATTCGTCCTTACGAACTGCTTCACAATAGTGACACTCGACAATGTCCTTCGCGAATGATTATCACAAGGTGTACCAACTGATAGCAGGTCAACTATAGCCTGTTGTCCAGTTGCCAAAATTTCGCTGACTTTCGGCCACGGCTGTGCATAACAAGCACTATGGCATGAAACAAGTGTCCCCGTTCGGAATAATCCGCGACAAACTTTTCACCGCCATCGGCTGGGTTACGTCACGTTCGTCCTCGAGTCCTTCGGCGTCTGTAATTTCTTCGGGCGAAATATCGAGGAGAACTTTGTATTCATATGCCACCGAAACTCTCTTCGCTAATTGTGATGCGCGCCGCGTCCTTGGCTTTCCGTTTTGTAAAACAGTCGAGCGTCGACGCACCCTGGAGCGACCGGTGGACCCTCATTGTTCACACTGCGGTGTTGCATTCATGAGGTGACTTGTTTATAATGAGTTGCTTTTTGTAATGAGTGTAGGTGATCTGGTAGCGGGCGCGAGCGCGGCGTACCGGTACTGAATGGTGCCTCGCCGAGTGTAATCACTCGACGTCGCCTCGCCAGTTGGCCACTGGGTTAGCGGTGTTCCTTTTCCTGCTGCGACATCATTAATAGGTGACATACGAGTCCAACATATGTTTACGTCTCTGGTAAAACCCCTTCTGTAATTAAGGACACATGAACATTTAAATGAAAATATTTTTTATAGTTATAAATAGATGCAAAAATTATACAAGATCTACTTAGTATGGAACTAAATGATTTATAGAGTTCTATGTAAATTTATTCATAATCCAAAACTTTTGATTATATTCAAACTACTCATTTCTTCAATTCCTCTTGCAAACTTTCAAAGCCTGTACATCGTTCGAACACGTATATCTTATTTTAACACGTAATAAGCACTGTTTTTTTAACATAATTCACATTATTATATGTGACCACACATACAAATGTGATACAAGTCAATGCGTGTCCACAGATTCGTAATATGAAAGGCGTGTAGTATGTATTACACACAATCCACAATATTATCGCTATTAGAAAATGCTGGTAAACTATGTATAAAATGCCATGAAAAGTGGATGTTCCGGATATAAATGACGTTTGTAAGGCGCCTTCGATCTTCAGGTTCTGTATAAATAAAATAAGTTTAGATATGTACTATAATTTTGCCTTGTAATTCCGGTATAGAATTTCTTACCCGTGAATGTCGTAAGAGGTGATTAAGGATCTAACAGTCGAGAGACGGGCAGCAGCGTCTCTCTTAAAACATTACCAATGTCTAACTGCAGTTGCCAACCCTATGTGCGGGTGACACCAACTGGCATAACCCACCCCAAGGGTTCACAAGTGGACAATAAATGGCTGATATGATGGTGATGATGTAAATTAAGATCTAAATAATTGTAAAGGGCTTGAAATAAATTATTTTGAGATCTGGAATCTGGATCAGTGTAGGACGACCCGCCATTATGTAGAGCAAAGACCTTAAATGCATTGCAAGAAATTAGTGGACGCAGGTGGCTCGGGATCATTCCTTATGACAGTCTATGAGGGAGGCCTGTGTTTAGGAGTAACCAGTTAACTTGTGATATAATGATAAAGATGAACCTGGATAAAGTAGCCAATCTCAGCAATGCTTACAACTTTGCGTGAGTAATATTACAGATATATAAAATAAACCACGAATTGGATTCTCAGTTGAGTAAAATACCACATTTGCACGTCATAACAATATGCCCGAATTATTATCATAAATAGAAATATACTTGAATGCATAAATATCAGACAGACACTATTCAAAAATCGTCTACAAAGATGTTCGTGTATACAGTTGTATATTTAAGTAGCTGTGTTTACATGTCTATGTTTCGGTTTGAAGGATGGAAAATGGCAGTAAAATTGCGAGGTATGGAGGGATAATATATTAGTCCTTAGAAATGATACTACTTAAAGGATACCATAGGCACCATATCATGTACGCTGTTATATCATATCTATAACCGACGACTATTACTGGGGGAAGAAGGGATTGTTAGTAATGATTATTAACCCCCTTGCTAGCAATATACTCTGTTATGTCGATCTCCTTCTGATTCCCCGTGGAAACCTTTGTAATTGATTTCTTAAATTCGTCACGGTGGACCTACTGACGTCTGACCTACTTCATCTTCACCTGTCATCCCTCTTTATATTTGCCACCAGTGTATACCGATAGCTCAGACGGGGTACCATTCCATTATCATCCCTTAAAGAACCGAAGATTATTAGTTTCAAGCAGTTGGACCGTCAGCTTGTTTACCTGTTTTAATATAGAATTATATTACATAATAAACCTCTGTTTGTTTTAGGATTACATGATACTGTATCTAGGAGCAATATTTGTGTTCCAGACCTATTTATTTATTTTGTCTGTTGTTGGTTACAGTGGTAATATCAGTTTAAAGTATAACGACAGCTATGTGGCATCATGTTACGTGGCTGATGTAAATCATTTACCGCATATCAGATGCATTCACAAAGATTGTGTAACAGAACTGGGCCGGAACACGTCGTGATGTACCAGTACTTTTTATTTCGTAAATTCTTAAACATTATCAGAAACAATGGTAACTATTACAAGAAATTATTATAAAGGAATAAACATACCGATGTGAAATCAAATTGTAATGTTTAATATTCCACACATAAGTATTACAATTATGTATTTTGTCATTACAGCCTTAGAATAATTGTTGGACATAAGAGTATCGTATTGTAAAAAATTTTGCTTAAAATGGAAAATAAATACTTCAGTTAATAAAACCGATTTATAAATATTATATGTTTATTAGACAGTTTTAAAAATAAGGGGTTAAATATCTACAACTAGATTAACTACACCCAGATTGTCTACCTAATTCTCTACAACTGTCTTCTATAAAAAGAGTACTTTGAAATTTAGCATAGGACATTACGACGTATTGTGTGAAGAAGGCATCTCAAGTAAAGTCGATTATGTACCATCTTACCATATTAATACAGTATTTTAAAACGTAAAATATATATGACATTCAGTCTTACCTCCAAAATATAACTGCCTACCATCCCGAGAACGTAAAATATATAAGGGAAAAATGAGGTATTTTTTAAACCGAATAAACATCTTCATTAACAATATAATTTTCTCTCATAAACACAGTAATACTCGTAAATATTGTTTTGAACAAAGCGTTTATATTGAGACACTCCATCTAAAAGTATATGATTTACGAAATATGTATTATGTTAGTTAATAGTGACATGGTAATTAAGACAACAATTAATTGCTGATTTAAGTCAACGTGCAGTATAAGGTGGGTTTCTAATTTAAACAACAGCGCATAGAAACTTAGCTGAGACCACAACCGGCGCCTGTTAACCCTCACATATAAATAATGCATTTAACTGTCTCATTGTCATGGTAATTAATTTGACCCACATACTTCCAGGGTGAAACTTGAGATTTGTATGCGCTGTGACAAGGGCATCCGTTTGTTCTTAATATTTTAGTTGATTTCTTATTGTTTTTCCCCCATAGTTTTGCATAGAACAGCCTCCGGAAATAAATTATAAAAATATAAAATTTAGTCTTACCTATATATATATATATATATATATATTTAGTTGTATATGAAAATATGTAATTGTTTTATGCGTTTGAGTAAAATTCCCGACTAATGTCAGAAATTTACATCCTTTTCAACCGATTTCAAAAAGAAGGAGGTGCTCAATTCCGTTGTATTTTTATGATTGTTACATCATAACCTCGACAGTTCAAAACTGATTTGGATTTTTTTTATCTAAAAAAATATACATACTTACAAATTAGGCCATAGAAATTTTACCAAAATCGGTTTCGGTAGTTTAGTTTTAGATAAAAAAATAGCCTTATTTGTCAAATTGAAGTCTGTTTTTTTATGGGACATAATCTTTAATTATGAATAAAAGGGATCCTGAATTATGTATCAATATTACAATACATTGACACATATGTAAATATATTTAAACTATTACTTTTTAGCCGTAGTTCGTCCGTCTTATTAGTAAGGATTAAAATAGAATAGATTAGAATGCTCTATTTGCTTTAAATAGGTTAGTATTAATTCAGCTAATATTAAGAATGCAAATTATATGAATATAGTTTTTTTTTTTTAAGTTACTAATTAATTTTACAACAAATATATTTACCATAAACAAATTCGTACATACCATGTCATATTAATCATTAAATACTTAGAAATAAGATTTTGAAACCGAATTAGTAATGAGCAGATTTTCAGACATATATTTATTTATTAAACAATTCTACGGAATCCTTAGCTTTCGCTTATCTAACACACGCTTGGCTGGCTTTTAATACTTCCAGATACTATTGTTTCACAGTTTTCTTCAGAACTGGTCGGTTATTACAACGGCACAGTTTTCAAGGTAAACGTGTTCAAAGACGTATGACTTCTATAATATAGGTTAGAGGTAATAGAATTTGAAATACCTCTAGTTTTCTATATGTAAATATTTTAAGAAAACTTAACGAGAGTATAGCCATATTTTTAGAAATTTCTCTTTACTAATTACATATCATACCACGATATTACATTTGCAGTATAAAAGTATGTACTTATATTTACAAATTTCTTTCAAACAGAATGGTAGAGATCTTTTTTAAAGGCAACTTTTCCTTTGCTCTCATTGTCTCTAATTATAATTATTATAGCATTTTGAGTATATTAAAATTAATAATAGTAAATAAAGTAAAAATGAAAATTAAATATATTTGAATATATTAAAGTTAACAATGATCAATACATGTAAATAATATAATTAAAAAAATTAGTAACTAACTATTTACATGTATCAGAGTAGTAAACTAGAAATAGGAAAAAAAGAAATAAAAATATTAACAAGGAATAGAAATAGTGAACAATGACAAAAACAGAATTTGGTAGCTTCGTTATAATATCGTCTTGGAACCTTGTCTATTTTCCTTTGACCGAAATAAAAAAAAAACTCTTACCTAGAGACCTAATTAAATTGTTATTATTATTAAAAACTCATCCCCCTTTACCTTACCAATTCAGCATTTTAGATTATTTCGTCAAAAATTAACGGTATCAGCTAAGATCTAAAGCCGTTGGAATTCAATGAATGTAAGACGCTAGAACGTGAAAAAACTGTTATAGAAACAGTTAATTTATGTCTTCATGTATACTAGACTATTAGTCGGTATTAATTGGGATAATTAATTAAAAGGATATTACAATTAAAAAGAAATATTATGGCAATTTATTTAAAAACAATTTAAACAGTCATTAAACTACGTTTGAGTATATATTATATATATAATATTTTATAATTTAAATTCATAGAAGCCCAAACAATAAAAGCCCTTATTCATGAACGACATGACTCACGTGTAACACCGTGTGATAGTTATTAATCAATATCATCATTATTTAACTCAGAGATACATACAGTTTATTATTTT